TCTCTCTCTCTCTCTCTCTCTCTCTCTCTCTCTCTCTCTCTCTCTCTCTCTCTCTCTCTCTCTCTACGTAGGTCGTGCCGCCCCACAACCCACCTCTCTTCATGCAAGCTTCGTGCAGCCACTCGTCGTGACACCCCCACACACACACACACACGCGGATCGATTTGCTCCACCGGAAAGAAAACGAAAATTCCAAAGAAATGTGTAAGCGGGAAAAAAAACAAATGCATTCTTCTACAGAATAAAAAAAATGCTTGAAAAGTTGTCACACCGTTGAGGTAGCTCAACTCAACGGTGCAAGTGGGACATGGCCCCAGGACATTGATGGACATACTTTTATGCGATCTTTTGCTAGATTCGTTATGGTTGCCTGATTGAAGTTCTAGGCAAGGGCAGAGGTAAGGGAGTCTTTTATTCTTTTTTTCTTTTTTTCTTTTTTCTTTTTTTCTTTTTTTAAAAGCCCACGTTGTTGTAGAGGTGGGATACCAGACGGGTGGCAGTCACCCACTGTACTCGGCCACTCGGTTGTCCAGATGAACCCCTCTGAAGACCCCACCCACACTTCCTCTCATCTTCTTGCCCTGGCGCACCCCTGTGACGAACTATTTTCTGTAATCGCGCGACTTTCTGAGCGGAGCTTGCTTGAGGAAATACGACGGGTCGAAGGGGTGAGTTGTGGAAAGACGGGTCGGGCGGGCTAATTGCATGGATGCCCTCGTTTCTTATCGTTTTTTGCTAGAAGTTATCGGATCGATGTCAGGAAAATACTGTACCAACGGTTGGGTGGTCGCGCCATGATGGACGCAATAAATAACTGAACCATAACTTCTTTTTGTTCTGCTGTGAGCACTGGGGATTTTTGGCGCAGTCATCGCGCGGGAATATCGTTTTCGAATTTTCAACTGATATCGAGCCCCCATGGGCTCGCGGAATTATTCTTCTCTTTTTCGGAATTTCCTTTTTGCAATTAGGACTTAGGCTAAGAATTTAGGAGCGCTTAATTTTGTTGCGCCGCGCTTGCGCACGTTTTGCTGCGCTAGGATCTGGGCTCTGACTGGATCGTGCCCTTAATCGTGTGCAACTGTTGTTTTTGGCGGGCGCGATTGTAACTGTATCTTTCTTCTTTCTTGATTTGCCCGTGTTTGCCTGCCTTCTCCTTCTTCCTCGCCTCATGTACTTTGTTCTGATTGGCAGGAGCGTCTGCATGACCGGATCGATGCGTGGAGTGTGGTTACATTCCCCACGCCGTGGTCTGACCATGCAGACGTAGGCACTTCCTCTCTTCTTTTTTTTGTCCACCTAAGCTTAATCCCGTACCTTTCACGGAGGTATGCTTGCTATAAATTTCGCAAGCGCGATTAGTTGTCTCTCCAAGAATTACGAGGTTAGCGAGATCAGTGAGGGTCGGCTAACAAGCAAGTTTTGGAAGGTGAGTGAGTGCGAGAGTTGGGCGATCTGATGAGCTGGTGTCGGGTTTGCGGGGTTGACGTGCGAGGCCGCGACGGACTATGGCGCACGGGCGAACCTGGCTTGCATGCTCGAACCAAGCGGGGTGACAACTCTTTGTTGATGCGCGGCGATGGATTGCCCGCATCGGGGGCGCGAAGAGAGAGAGAGAGAGAGAGAGAGAGAGAGAGAGAGAGAGAGAGAGAGAGAGAGAGAGAGAGAGCAGTTGTATGGGTGCGGGATAAGGTTCTTTTCTTTATTGTTCCCTTCTTTTCCTCCGTCATCTGTATAATTTTGGATCCGGATATGGTCGATATTATTGCGGCCTTCTTTTGTAAATCGTCTCGGATTTTCATTTATGTCTTTTTGCCTTGGATGAATGCACGAATGGGTGTGAACTCGTCCTCATTAAAAAACTCTCCGAATTCCCGATCGTGTTTTGCGATGCTTGTCTAATTCCCTCCTCTATTTGCACCCGATTGGAAGCACCCACCATGGATGTCTGAGTTCTTTTTGTTTTTTTCCTCTCCTTTTCGTCACATGGATGGTATGGATACGAATGGAACATGTGAATCTCCCTCTACCTAGCATGAGTAGGATAGTTGCATATAGGATACGATCGTTATCACGATACAG